ACAAAATTTTCTCCAACGGTTGACTGAATATCTCATGTTCAGTTAAGTGTTTTGCATTTGGTTGGGAGGTGGTACACACTGAATAATCTTTCTTGCTTATTTTGTTGTTGTTCTGGGGGTTATTGTGTAAGAGATTAAAAAAAGAAAAACCAAATTGAAGATGGATTCTGATGAAGGATCTAAACATTAAGCTACAGCCAACATGTGTGGTTTTTAACGCACATAAGAACGAATGGTATTTCTTGGCTACTTAGTACAGTAATAAATAAAACGAAATATGATGATTCCCCCTGGTAGCAATAAAGCGTTCTAGTTGTGTGCGAAAATATATTTTTTAAAATTCTATGTGTCCTCATAAAATTAAATAAAATGTAATTACATAGCCGTTAATTATTTGTGTGCACTTAATTTTTAGAAAATTTAAGGAACATTTACTTGTGTTTACGTGCATTATACACATTTATTCGTCATTAACATTTATAAATGAAATAATAGCATCGAATGTCGGATTCGAATAAACTAACAGGCCAATTAGATTATAAAATTTCATTTATCTAAATTCGAAAATCATTTTTTTTTCGCAGTTCTTTTGCAAAATTTCGTCATTATACTTCACGCAACTTGCGCTGCAGGGTTCAAGTTTAAGTTTGGCAGAAGAGCATGAGATAGAACCATCTTTTATTATGACTCTGAACCGATTTAATTTTGTCTTCCCATCTGTTTGTCTATTAATTTTTGTTTTTAGCAACCTACAAGTCGCAACTTCTTTTCTTTTGATAAAATTTTGCGCAGTGACCTCTTTTGTCCCAAAAGTGCTATTGAAAATTGACTGGAACGAATAATTTCTACGAGAACTAGCCTAGTTGAAAACGATTTTCAAATAGGCCCACGAAACAACTCGTGCAATTTTCCTTTATTTTTTGTTCGAAGTTCTTCTAGTGCCTCTAAAATTCCATAAGTTAATTTAACTATTATTCATTAATAAAAGGTTAGCTGTTTTTGGTCGAAAATTAAATCTTTTCCTTCAAATACGTTCCAATGCCATAAAAATCAAAATATTTTATTTGTAAAATCGTTTTTGTATTTGACAACCCTACTGAATTTGAGATTACCGGATTTTTTTTCTTTGCTTTTAGATCAAAACTTTGCCGTCCGTTTGTCTATTCATTAATCCCACTACCCAACTATATAGTAGTAATATGTCGCCTACAAATTTGCAGGAAGGTTTGAAAAACGCTCAAAGAACGAGCCTACAATGCCTTTCTAAGTAATTAAAAATGAGTACTCGTTCGCTTTTCTCGTTGTCGATAAACGACAGCAGGTATGCGACATAAGTTTCCACAAATTTATTCTGCAAAAATAGAACAAATAGCCAAAATTATAGCAAAATAGAAAAATATTGCCATGTGCACCCGAAATTATAGAACATGCAAATTTTATATTTTCTTTTATAGGATAGCGGTGATGGTAAGGTAAAAAACAATCTTTTGCAACCGAATATAATTTTCTTACTTGTTTTCAAAAAATTCGTTACTTTTCCATATTTAATGCGATGAAAGGTTCTACTGAATCGTAGTAGATAATGAAAGTTAGCTATGCAATATCAGAAATGAAAGAAATCGTGGTGTAAACCCGAATATGTTTGAAATCGCAAAATCCGTTCAGAAAATTTTAGTAGTACTAAGCCGAAACGTGTTGCTTTCCTTGCTGTCCTCACTAAGCATTCCTCTTTCTGATTCTGATATAGTGTATCTTCTTGATGCGGTGGCTTATTGTTTACTCGAGCATTCTATGCTTATGACGACAATATTATGTAGACATCTTCTAAAGACCAGTTTTCCTTTCTGTCTATTCTCTTAGAAAGATGACAAAAGTGTAAAAGTTAAATTTCTTTTTCTTCTGTTATCTCGAAATGGGCGTGTTTATAATAAAAGAGAAGTCGTTTGTTTTCTTATATCTGTGAATAAATTGGGAATGTAATAGTTCATCATGTGCAACAATTGGAAAATCTGTCACACTATTCAGCCATGATTAGATACACATTGAGAATAGTTGCTATTAACGTCCTTCAAGCAATTCAAACGAGCCAGATGGTTTCGATGATTTGATTTTGAAGAACAATTCATTGATTTTTTGAACCACTTGGATCAATGCCTCAGATCTTAGCTATTTTGTTCTGTTATTTTGCATTCATTTTGCATGGTCTCGTAGGCCTTTTGGTATTTAGGTACGTGTTGTTCTATCTGCAGATTTCAATTTTCTGTTAACGAAACACATAAAAATATTATTCTCAAATTTTTCTAAAACAAAGCGAGTCAAAAAGGTGTATTCGTCTTGGATCGAATCTTCACTTTTGTGAATTGTTTAAGTTAAATATTTAAGTATCAACAATGATGCGTATACGCATCTTGACAATGATGCGTATGCGTTTTTAGAATGACATTTATTGAATGTTTGTATGTTTTAATGTTTTTCGTTTTTCTATTGACTGGTTTATTTCAATTTTGGTTTTGTACATGTAAAAGAAAAACTATTGCAGTAGAATATAAAAAGAGAATGCGGTTTGCACGTCTGTCAGTTGAGAGTCTCGAGCAGATCAGAAATATAGGGACTTTTTGGTATGCCCGATCAAAATTTTGAGGTACGGCAAGGATAATTATAAGTCTATGATGTCAGGTATAAAAGTAAACTCGCACCTTTTTTTTTATGAAAAAAAAAGTTTAGTAAAAAAACGCTGCAAATATTTCATTCAATGTATCGTCTATCGCTAATAACGGATTTTATCCATCTTTCTAACAAAAAATGAAATGAAATACTGAAAGGGCATCCGATCTTTTGAAACTATTCGCAAAAGGATCATTTGTTGGCAGCGCAGCTCGGATAGGAGAACAAGTCATCGAATGAATGAATATTCATCAGCATTAGGAGTGTACATTTAAGATAGTCGGGATTCACTGGTGCTATTGTTTCCTGGGCAGATCTTGGAATATAATGCTAAGATTCGTGTGTTTCTTTCGCAATTAAAATTGTCTTCTATGGCATTCAAACAAACGCTGTTATTTGCATGCACTATATTTTGGCAGAAAAATGTGTCTACGCCCTCCCGTGTTGTAAGTAGAGCAGAGCATAAAACCATTTTTTATCCCGTGCACGTGTGAAACAGTAATGGTCGGAAAGAAGTCGGGCAGGAGAATGAAAAGTAGGGAGTAACCACAGCTTAGTGGGCACTATAAAAATACCCAAATACGTAACCAAACATTCTAAAAAAATCGAAGGTAATACAAAAATGTAAAAATCGTTAGAGAAACTACACCAAATTGAATGGTTGATGTATAACTAATTTTTAAAGTTAACCAAAAAATCAAGTGATAGCAGAGGCAATTGAGTAAATTAAAATATTCGTTCATATCAAAAATATATTTTTGAAGCCCTTGAAAAGAGCGCTAATAAAAACAAGTAACAACTCTTTCAAAAAAGATATTACACGGAAAGTGGTCTGCCTCGAACCACTTTCAAAAGCGTTCATCCATATGCCAAAAAATATTATTGCAAAAATTTTATCAAAATGTTTCTAAAATTTGCGGCCTATAGGATGAGCACAATACGGACAGATAAGCTGAAATCGATTCAGAAAGTGATTCTGAAGCATTCGGTATAATTAAAAGTGAATCTATCTCATGTCCTTCTGAGTGTTGCGTACGTCCGCGCAAGCTTAATGTACTCTTGCACCACAAAGGGAGGAAGGTATTAAAAATATTTTTTCATATCTCTACATATACCATATCAAACACTCATAAAACGGTTTCAGCTTATTTATTCGAAATAGACGTAATCCGTCACATGCGCAGAAATTTAAGCTTTACTTTCAAGCAACTACATATTTTTCATACGGTTCATACATTTCTCATGTCGTCCTTTTTTTTAATTTCCATACCAGCTGATCCACTACCAATACCTTTTACTTGCTGTCTAATATGAGCACTAAATTAAAAAAAAAATAGTTTTAAAAGAACATTCTCCTCGTACGCTTTGACAGAAGCCTACCGGCAGCAGCAATAGGCAAACACTTGTCTATTTCTCATCATTACAATTCAACACATTTCTACTTTGATGTCCTTAAGTGTTTCGTTTTAGTAAACTTCGTTTTAATATTCACTACAGGAAGGTCGAAGTATTCTAGATTCATCATTGCGTTCGTAGCAATGCGGTAGTTTCCTTAATAGTATATTCGAAGCTCAAGAAGAGTATCACTACTTAGACGATGTAGCCATGGGTCTTTACCCGCTGGCTTGGTTTTTTTTAGGGATACTTCCAAAACCAAAAAGAAAAGAAACTGTTTGCTTGCCATACATGCATAGCTTTGCCTGATTTCTATAGAGTTTTCATAAATGCCTTCCACGTAAGCTAAAAGATTATAAAGGTTTTAGAAGAAGAATAAATAAAAGTTTTAGAACTTTTCAATATTTACTAAAAAGGCGATTCATTTGAAATTTGTCACGATCGACTAACTGACCTGCCCATAATTAATAAAAAAAGGAATTACAACAGTAGTCCGTTTTTGCACTGTAGGCGATAGATAGCTATGCTTCGTTTTTAGGTGAATACAACTCTTTTGACTGCTATGTTTTTTCCTCTTTTTTTTTTCTTTTTATTTTTCCAATTTTATGAATGCAAAAATTTCCATATGTTGGATATATCTGAAATGTTGAGATAAAAGATGAGAGATGTCGGCATATTTTTTTTGCTTTAAACCTATGTTAAGTGTTTCTTGTAACTTGAGCTCTTAAGAGTTGTTGAGTAAATAATCAACAACATCATCATCATATGCAATAGTAGTGATAATGTTAAGGGAAAAGAAAACAAAATCTTTTTAGATTTTTTCTCCTGTTTTCCTGTTTAAAATATATTACTATATATATGTATACATATTCTTTACTTTACAAAAGAATTTTTATTAAATTTTTTTCTTCCATGTTTTATTCTATTTTTTATCTTTACAGATTAACGGGTTTTGTTTGTATTCTGTACTTGTAAAGCAAAAAAGTTTACGTGTTTGCCTGTACATCTGAGTGTATGGAAAGGCAATGAAGTCTACGGAAAGATAAGAAAATATGTGTTTTTATGTTCTTTCTCGCTCGTAACAAAAAGCAACCGCATCAAATGTTTTCTCTGTTCTGCGCTGTGGTAAAAATTTAATGAGCAAAAATTTTTTGTTTGTTTCATAACAAGTCCAAAAAATAAAAATAAAAGAAAAAGTGAAAAAGAAATAAATAAAATTAAAAGGAAAGTAAACGGCAACAGCAAATATAACATAACAGTAATAAAAACGACAACAAACTCAAGCAATTATAAGGGCACATCTAACGCTGCTGGTGACAGATGAGCCCCAACAACACATGTCAATTGCTGCAGCCGAAAATGCAGGGTAAGTTACTTTAATCAAGTTTTAAAAAATAAAGGAAACAATTTTTAGAAACAGTTTTTTATATAATGCTTTCAACACACGTACCTCGGAAAATCTCCCCGTTGCAGTTTGTAAACCATACTTTTTTTTTCTGTTCTTTGTTGGTAGGGGCTTTTTTTACTTGTAAAATCGAAGTAACGTTTTGGCTTTAAAATTTCAGGAAAAATTGACTTGAATGAAATGTTTCTAACTGTTTATGAGCTTTGCTTGCTCCGCATACCAGCGATCCCAACCATATTTTTCATTAAAAAGAGCGGTTCCTTATGTTTCAGGCAAAAAAGGCCTTTAAGTTGGGGTAGTTTATGAATTACAAAAAGGCGGTCGTGCTCCCATCCCCAATTGTTATTTCTTTGCTGTTGTCTGGCAACAGCTTGTTTCATCCAGTAGAATTAGAGACTACCTAAAAGAGAATTTTTACGATCATTTTATGATCGTACAATTAAATTTGTTATAAGGCAGATTTCGTTTCGCACAATCTAAAGAAAAATCATTTTATACATGATTTCATTTCAAAAATGATAATAAGATAATAAGAGTGATAAGAATGATTAAAGAAAAATTGGGAAGATATATCTATTAAATATAAGCGTTTTTATTATGCATAAGTAAAACGAGAATTGGATGCTCTATATGTTAACGTTTCGTGCTTTTCCTACCTTCAATTTAATGAAACAGGTAACCAAGCAGACAACCTGCAAAGAACTCTAACAAATTTTATAGAGAACATGTCTTCAAGATATCCCAAAGTATTTTTAGATCGATCAGTTCCTTGCGATGGCAAATAGAAATACTTTATTTCGCATGAGAAAATATTTTTTAATATTCCACCACGATTGCAATCCTTTTTAAAGAAAATTTAAATTGTTCGAAGAGCATAGCTTCGAACCACTCAAATTATTTAAAAAACTGAAGACAATCTTGAAGAAAAAGAAGGTTACGTTCCCCGTCCTTCTCTACTTATTGGTAAATAAACAGCTTTGTTGGTTATGAATAAAGTTTGAATGTGTTTTGAACAGTTCCGTGCTTTCATTATTATTCGGGCCGAACTGTAAAAACTATCTTTGAATATGAGATGAGAGTGTAATTCAAAGTTTTAGTTTTCTATTTTCAATTTTGCAATTTTAAGAGTAAAGAGAGAAAATATATTATATCCAATGATGAGAACTTCAAGGCAAACTTCAAAATAAGAAATTTATTCTTGTTTCTCTTTAATTAAAGGAAATATAAGTTAGGGATGTATCCTACACCGTCCAAGATGAAGAATGTTAAAAAACTAGTAAATTGAAACGCAAAAAAATTACTTTTAAAAAATGCCTCATATCAATTCAGAATGACAATCTGAATGGAACTAAGCCTCTAAGCCTCTCTGTTCGGCTGTCCGCCTGATGTCTGCCCATGTAAATTTGTGTTCAAGTTACAGGTCGCAATTATTGAAATATTTAATTGAAATTCGGTTCCGTGCTTTCGTCCAAGGACGAATGGTGATTCAACGAAAAAATTAACTTTACCAAATTTGGACCATCTCGCCGTTTTTTTTGGATTCTGTCCTATGCAAGGATTCAATTTATAATACATTAATTTGAGTTTTGGGCCGGCTCCCGTCAAATACGCACATGAAAAATATGCTTTTACATAGCAACAAGATACAATTTTTGTTATAATCAGAATATTATTCTTGTGTAACTTATTGTAAATTACTTCTTATGACCATTAAAGGTTTCTATATTCTGCCAGAACTTGTATTTGGTAGGACGTTCAAAAATAAGTTCCACATTCATTAAATGTAGCAAAACACTACTCTTCGCCGATTTTTTATCACACATGTTTTGTGTATAGTAACTTTTGTAATATAAAGCACGATACACGGTAAGTCCACGAAACCGTTCCCATACTTCCCATTTTCGTCAAGCTTCGAAATGGGATCATAAAATATTAGTGTGGTAAATTTAATGAATACAGCTATATATGGACGACATAAAATAGATTTGGTACCATAAAGTAAAGCGTAAAAAATGGGTCTGCCTTAAGTTTTTCTCGCATATCACAACTGTTGCAACGTGTAATGATATGACAAAAGTACACGTACGTAAGAGAACTACACGTGGTTTATTTTTTTTTAAAGAGAGAGATTTCTGATCGTAAAGTTACAATAACTTTTCTCAGTCTCCATGTTTCTCGTGACCCATATTCCAGGAGTAGGAATTGTTGATAGTTGCTGTTGCTTTTTGGTCATGTATTTCACCTCTCCCTTGCGTATTGTCACGCACAAAATAGGACAAAAAGCACAAAAAGGAAAAGAGTAGACATACAGAAAGCATGCTATGTTCTTTGGGCGAGAAAATTGGTCTGCCGTTATAAAAGAAATTCATATTCGCTTCGAGCTAAATCTTTAAATAATTGTTTTTGTTTGATATCATATTAATATACATATATATATGTAATGACGTATATATAAGAGATTCCGTCATAGCCTCATGCAAATTTCTTTCTTGTTTACCTTTCGAACCTGGCTTTGCCAGTGTCACAAAATTTTGAATTCTTATGCGCTATGAGTTGTAAATTACGATGCTTTGACTAATAAGGAAGCGTTTGTGAGCAGATTATGTGAATGGCTAAAGTTGTTATTAGAAATGTATTTCAAGCTTTAATTTTCTAGGAAGGAAGACAGAAACGATTAAATTGCACCAGTGTTTCAAGCTAATCAGGAATATGCATATCTTATGGAGTCTTCGATACCTGTTTCTGGGTGCGCAAAAAACGAAAGAACCCATCTGGTATATTCATACTTATCTCCCGATGATGCACATAAACGATAAGCATGTCATTTTAAAAAAAAATGAGAATTATACCAAAGGCTATAAATTAGCGGCGACAACTTTTGTTTGAATAAATGAAATTTTTTGTAATATCAATTGTTTGAGATGGAAATGAATAATAATTTAAATGCACTCAATACGAAATGACATAAGTGGGACATTTGTACTACCCATCGAATTTTATCGTTTTGTATGTAAGAGTCGCAAATGGGTAATTAAAAAACTCTAAAAATAATCAATTTGGGCATATCCGTCTGCTTTTTACTACTAGATTTAGTGTAACTAAAATTGAAGAGAAAAGTTGAAAGTCTGAATCAGATAAGCATAACATAAATTCAACAATTTTGAAAACTGTGTTACACGTTTTAATGTAATTTTGCTGCAAACCTTATGACCTATACGCAGATATTGATCTAAATTCAGATAAATGCCTGTTCGATTGTGGCTATCGTTGGCCCTTAACGGATAGGTAGGTATGTAATCGCTTGTATATCCAATTTATATGATTATGGATATGCAAGATTCGGATCATGAGGAAAATAAACCTTTTGTTGTTTTTAATAAAGAAATAATGAGCACAAATAACTTCTTGAATAATGCGTAAAATAACTCTTTATCTAACTTATCGGAATATCATATGAAAAAGGAGCCTAACGTAAACGTATCCGATTAAACACAAAATTTTATTATTGCGTTTTATTTTAAGTAAATCATCAAACGCTCGTTTCATGATTGTTTCATATTTTGGTTCACTTTTATATGTGTATCCCCTAGCAAAGTACACAATCGCTGAATTTAAATATATTTAAATCGGAGAAGTTTTCAAATAAAACATTCGTCGATGTTAACACTGATCGAACGAGCAAACCGTAAAAGTCTTGGAAGTTCGAATGTAACTCACGTACTCTCTAAGGCCTATATGGTTATAGCTTGCAAAGTATTTTGTTTTGACGGGATTAAAAAACCAAAATGGGAAGGTTAGCTATCTTCTTAATTCTGTTACGCAAATCCCAGATTTGGTGATTTGACTTTGAATGAAAACTAGTCGAGTTTCTAAAAAATCAAATTCCAAAAAAAGCGAGAACCAAATACACGTTCATGACGCTTCAACTGCCGTGTGCAGCTGGGCACTGGTAGATCGTTTGCGAAAGGGTATATAGCCAGAATATTTGCGAAAGGCAAAGTCAAGAGACTTGAATCGGAATATTCAAAGAAAAGACCAGGAGGGTCGTTGTAAATGCAAGTTACTGTAAATAAATTGTAAGTATATCTCCTACGAATTGTATATGAAGCCTATACTATTCTAAAAATTACAATTCAGTGGTGCGAACTTAGCCTCTAAAGGAGTTGAATAAAAACGTCAAAGCGCAAAAAAAGGTAATTTTACGCTGCAATATGTTCAAAATATTAAACATCGTGCACCATAGATTATTTGCTTAAGATTTTCGCTTTTATCTCAATTGAGTTTTGTTGAAACTTTCGCACAAAGTCGTAATTTAGATTTTTAAGCAAGCGCGACTTATACACCATCACCCGCACCCACAAATAATTGCAGAAATATAAATTCCGATATATAATTGTAGCCTGAGTAAAGTTGGTTGGTTGGACCATTTAAAAGTTCATTATTAAGAAAAGACTAACGCCCAATTGATGCGTCCAGAATTAATGACAATCAAGGACAAACTTTCACTGTCAACTTAATTTCTTTTAAGTGCGTATAGCTTTCTTTTCATTCTTAAGAAATCTTATAACTTTGCTTCTTACTGATTTTGGTTTAAATTTGATTAGATTATTATTGAGCAATTAACTTACGTTTATACAAGTTTTAGCAAAATTAGTCGGAAAATTAGAAAATTTTAAGCAAAAAAAAACTTTAGGTCGATTGAGTTACTTACGGTTAGTTAATTAGATTACAGTTAGCGATTAAATGAATTCAATTTTATTTAATTTAAAATAAAATAAGTGGGCCACAGCCCACTGTTCGAAAAAGTGGTCTTTTGGGCCAAAAATGTCGGCGTATCACATTTCATCAAAATAACGCAAAAATAGCGATCTGTACGTTGTACACAAGAATACAAGATGGGCAGACAACAGGGCACAAAAACATAGAATAAAACTTTATTTAAAACAAAGCGGAATTATTTT